TTTCTAGTCAATGACCTCAGTAACATATATTAATTATATGTATATATATATACAGGGCGTCCGCAAAGTTGGGGTTTTCCTTTACACGACGTGTAGATCTTGAAAACATAAGCAATTTTTCTTAGTACCATATACACCAATGTCTTAAGGGAATCGAGATAAAGGGCTCTGCAACATCAAAAATATCTGAATACCGTCCTGTAGCCGCCACCCGCCGCGATATCCCAGACTGGTACCGGCTACTAGCTGAACCCGACGACAGAACTGGGTCGGGGGTCAGGGTCAGTGTGTCAGGTCAGTATGCAATCTTCAACCGACGGTAAAGGGTCACGCATATAGAGGTAACGAACTCATATAATCGATTGCGTTTCAAAAAAAAAATAATAATAATGGCACACTCATACACCAATAATGAACTCGTTGATATGTTGTTAATTTATGGCGAATGTCTTCAAAATGCTACAGAATCGTCGCGAGTGTATGCAGATCGTTTCCCTAGACGACATCATCCAAGGCACCGCAGATTTGTGTACCTGGTCCAGAGAGTCAGGGATACGGGCCATTTGGAGGAATTTCGAGGTGGGCACAGTGGGAGGCCTAGACAACCACGAATGGTACAAGTTGAGGAAGAACTACTGAATCGCGTAGACGAGAATCCCTCAACAAGCACTAGAGAAGTGCAAGTATCAAAAACTAAAGTGTGGCAAACGCTGGGTGAAGAGGGGCTATATCCATTTCACGTCCAACGTGTACAAGCCCTTCAACCTGACGATTTTCCAGCAAGAGTGCGGTTTTGTGAGTGGTTGTTGCATCAACATGACAATAATCCGGACTTTTCGAAGTGCATGTTGGTGACAGACGAATCTACGTTCACGCGTAATGGGGTGAATAACTTTCGCAACACTCATGTTTGGTCAGTAGAAAATCCGCACGCTGTCCGTCTGGCACATTTTCAACAAACATTTTCGGTGAATGTTTGGGCTGGCATGGTGAACGGTATGCTCATTGGACCATTTATTCTCCCAAATCGATTGGACGGGATGCAATACCTAGAGTTTTTACGCAACATTTTGCCTTCCTTGTTAGAAGATGTGCCATTAAGTGTAAGACAAGCAATGTGGTTTCTACACCGCCCCATTTTAGACGCGAAGTGCGTGAGTTTTTGGATGAATTATTTCCGAATAGGTGGATCGGACGTAATGGACCCGTAGCGTGGCCTCCGCGATCTCCAGACTTAACACCATGTGATTTTTTTCTTTGGGGAGAAATGAAACGCTTAGTGTACAAAACTGAAGTGCATACGGTTGACAAACTTCGTCTCAGAATTGAACAAGCTGGTGCTTTCATTCGGGGGAGGGACTCCATTCTCGAAGCCTGCCCCGATGATTGGCTACGTCGTGCACGCACCTGTGTTTTTGAATCAAACGGCGATAACTTCGAACAATACCTATGAAGTACGTTTACCTAAAAACTGAAAACGCGGCAACGCCGTCTTATTTGTTTGGTCTGCACCACCGCCGGCGTCTGCCCGGTAGCGCATGAGCTGATTTCATTTTCTGTTGGAGCGGTATGATTTCAGGCAGAGACGTACTTAGCCCTTCTCGTCAACTGGAGAGTGAGTACTTTTTCCTTTATTTTTTTTACTTGGTCGCCCTCGTTTCACTACACATTACCTTTGTTATTTCAAGGGTAGTTGTTTCTGAAAAGGAAAACCCCAAATTTGCGGACACCCTGTATATTGTTATTACGCGGGATTTGAACTTTTCTGTACTTTTATCTCTTGAATGTGTCCGCCTATAAGGAATAGGATGTGATGTACATTTGTATTCCAATGAAGTCCTTTTATTATTATTATTATTATTATTAGTATTTCCTAAGCATTAAAGCGGGGCGGGGTTTTCGCTTTGTCTATTTTTGATGATATAGGGCATGGGGAAGGGGTATAGATGGTGATTACGTCAGAAGTATTTATTTTCTTCACTTTTTCCGACATTTTTCTATAAAATATAGTCGATTTTGTTTTCGAAACATCTGATGAACCTGCTCGAAGGCGAAATGCAGCTTCAGGGATTCAACAAATATTAGCTGTAAATGCTCTTGTTAGAAATGCGTATAACCATTGACTAACGCACTGTAAATCCGAGTAGTACGCAGAATGGCTCCACATAGTCTGGAACTGGCTGGTTTATACTGCCTCATGACCATTTTGGGACTCATTTGGATGAACGTTGCGTTACAATTAATGAACATTTAGAAACATCCAATTTTGAATTTGCCGAAAATGTATTAGCAGAGGTATGCAGTTCAATGAAAATTGATGGTTATGATGTTAGTGCAAGTATATTGGGTCGGGAGAATTCGATCTTCCTGATTTTCCAGACATTAAGTGGTATTTAGAGCATGAGCATGAAAGCGAATACTTGCTTCAAATTATACAACGTACCAAGATGTTTACGGGTGGGGGGTGAGATTTGCTTACTTTTGCTGACAAGTGGGAAAGTCTGCTAACGTAGTACTTGAGCGACATCTTCCGTTAGCGTCCTTCCTCACAAGGTGCATTACTGTGTTTTGGGGGCATATTGCAGCATCTTCAGGAACTGATAACCTACAGATCTTGCATCAAAAATAAAGTCGCTGCCAGTTTTGTCTGTAGTTTTTCTGCAGCTATAGTTTTACCAACCTGATTCTTCACAAACAGAGTGCTGTGAGACTGAGTCGAACATTGCAATCATCCTACATTCTTAGTTGTCTTTGCTAGGAAAACACATATAAATCCATTTCTATAGGACGCTAAACTATTTTTGAACAAGCCGCGGCAGCCGAAAGATAATTATTCAAACATCAGAGCTAACTTTTTATAATGAATGAATTATGCTTTTCAACTGTCGACAGCCTGATGCATAGCAAGCAATTTTCCAAAGTTGGATATCTCCATGATTAATGACACCGATAATGTCGCAATTACACTGGATAAAGTTTCCCTTGTTTTTCGAGAGGTTGACAGAGGTGAGTTATAAAACTCCACAGATTATAAATGGAAAAGGGTAAATAATTGACGTGTGCCTGGTTTAGGTGGCCAAATCACGCAGCTACCTCAACACGAAACCAAACAGAAGGGACGAAGGTGACGTAGAGTGGAAGTTGTCAACTGCGCTATCACTCTCTACCAGGCGCGAAGCAAACGTTGGAATTTTGGAATGCTCAGAAACTCAATTTTTGAACAGGCAACTATTTTATAACTTATATCAAGCAGAAAAACTTCAAATTTAGTTTCTCTACTAAAAACTTTTTTCCATATATAGTAGAAAATACTTGGGACGTGTGTAACAAAAACACTAAAATTTTGATGTGAAATGTTAAAAAGCAACCCTGACAGCAATGCGGCTGGTCGTTGGAAGATTGCGTCCATGTTTTCAAATAAATCTAATCTAATTTTCGTGATCTTTCTGCAAACTCAAGCATGGTCTTAACTGAATTGCGATCCTTGATATTTACTTTTAATTTCTTCAGATTCCTGCGATATATTAGTATTAACAAGAGACTGTTTTCAGGTTGCTAACGTTTTGACGTTTATTTTTCGCCTTTTTCAGAGCTAAGAAATGTGAAAAAATATATTTTAAAAAGGGTAAAATCGTAAATGAAGCATTAAAACAGTTCAGTTGGGCAAGAACGTATACAAAGACGTAAATACCACAGAACAAAAACAAACCAAACAAGGACAGTAAACGTGTGTACATATTAAGCAATTTCGATAATTGAAAAAACCTGATTAAAGGTGGAAAACTATATAGATACGCAAAAAATAATGACAAATGTATAAAAATATGTAAAATCCAGAGCAGCCATGCATATCGAAGACACAAAACACGTCCTAGGGGATAACAAACATCCCTCAGGTCAGCTATGAAAAAGAAATTAATGAATATAACTTGAAAAACAAGAACAAAGTAATACCAGCTCAGACTATAATACTGCATTAAACCACATGAAGCAAGACTGAAGAAATACTGACTGCTTGTCTGCAGATATACAGCACGAGGAGTCATGAATTCTGAGATAACATTACTGCTTACGGTTTAAGTCAGCTAAATTCCTTAATCAAGAAGGTATAGGTAGATCTCACTAAAGGGGCGTTTTCCTAGCGACGGGTTTTTTGCGTCGTGGTCAACGTGATACGTTGAGCGTTTTACGTCGAGCAGTTCTTCCTCGAAATTTAATGGGAGTGTTTTCCTAAACGGCGCATCACGTCAGCGTGGAACGTAAAACGTCGACGGAATAGATCCGACTGCTTTCGGAGGAATCTATTCCGTTGTACGCTGCGTGATTTGCTTTGAGCGCACGTGCTACATTGAGGTTAGGAAGCGTGTTATCTTGTGTATACTGCTGTAAAAAATGTCACAAAGTTCTGTGAAACTACCAACGGTGAAATTTTCTGCCGATGATGACGAAGTACTCATTGAATTTGTACAGAACCATACAATATTGTATGACATGAAAGACCCGGACTTCAAGAACACATTAAAAAAAGACCTCATTTGGATTGAAGCTGGAAAAGTTTTGAATAAAGAAGGTACATTTTTTAAACCGTTTTAGTATGATATTTATTGTTATTATAAGTATTAGTAACAGTAGGTTCAATAATGTAAATTATATTGTTCTAAAATAATATGGCAAGATTTTCAAACGGGTAGATATAGGGATTGATTTATAGAATAACCTCTTGAAACTGTAGTTATATAACAGTAGGTAGTGCTTTTAATGTGAGGGAATGCATCACGGCAGACTGAAGTAATTAGTGAGCTGCCTCCTCACTTCAAATCCTTCAGCCTCCGCAAAACCACCTGAACCTGCTAGATTGATAATGTTTTGGGTTGGGAAGCCCTCCAGATTTGGCGTTATATCTACTTTTGTAGGATTCAATGATAAATAATCATTCCTCAGCATGCTGTGTAAACTGCAGCACACCACAATAATGGAGTCAACAGTTTCAGTTTTCAAACTTATTGGAGTAAAAAAATTCTGAAAATGGTGCTCATGATGCCAAAAGCGTTTTCAGAAGTTCTTCTGGCTTTGCTGAGGCAGAAGTTGAACTTTCTTTTCTTTTCATCGTGCAATATTTGTGCTCTAGGATAAGGCTTCATCATATGTTCACTCAAACTGAATGCATCATCACCAACTACTACGTGAGGTAGCAAGGTGTGAGAGTTTGGTAGGTATTTTGGAGGTGGAAACATGGTTCCATTCTTCACTAACTCTCCCATTTTGGACTTTTTGAAAATCCCTGCATCACCCTCCTTTCCATACGATCCCACATCAATAATGAGAAACTTGCAGTTTGCATCAACCATTGCAAGAACCACCACAGAATAATATCCCTTGTAGTTAAAGTAGAGACTTCCCGATTTGGCTGGTGCTACAATTCTCACATGTTTGCCATCAATGGAAGCTATACAGTTGGGAAAACTCCAACGTTTCCAAAACTCGTCTGCCTTCTGTGCCCAGCGTATCTCTTCAGGCGGAGGTAAAAAAAGTGGAACAAGCTTTGTCTGTAGAGCAGCTAACACCTTGGGCACGATCTTGCTTATTGCAGAGTGTGAGATGCGGTAGCCAAATGAAAGTGATCTGTACGATTCCCCTGTGGCCAGAAACCTGAAACAAATTTGAAAAATTTGAAAAAAAAACGCTGGAAACATATGAGGGATCACTACAAGAGGGAAAAAAAGAAGAAAGAGGCTCTACAGGAAAGGCTACAAAGAAAAAAAGAGCGGTGTATTGGGAGCAACTGCAATTTTTGGATACTGCGGGAGATGAAAGAAGCAGCTTTACAAACGTTCTTTCTCCGTCGAGTAATGAAGCTTCAAATCCCGAGGAACCAAATATTAACAATCTGGAACATTCTGAGGAGCACGAGACTCCCGAGCGAGCCTCAGAGCGACCACCAATTGTATCTTCTACACCAGCCTCAGATTGCCATGAGGTCATCTTTCGACCGCCAGCACCAAAATCGAGGAAAGAAAAGGTTGCAATCCAAAAATATTTCCAAGAAAGAACAGAGGACAGATTACATTTGAAACGGTGCCTTGACGACATTGTGGGACAGCCACTACCCGAGGACAACGAAATAGATTTGTTTTTCAGAACTATGGCAGCCACTGTCAAAAAATTTAGACCAGACCTTGCCACCAAAGCAAAATCGAGTGTGTTTAAAATTATTACTGATTTGGAAATAGTAAACCAGCAATTGCTTTTGCCAGCCAATGAATTTCATTCGGATTCCTACTCCTCATCATCGTCACCGTGGACTCCACATTCATCCACAGAACCTACCTACACCAGCTTGGACATAATATCAGAAGCATTCACACAAGCGATTCAAAATGGGGATGATAACTAACTTTTCTTTATGTTATTTATTCAGTTAACAATAACGTAAAAATAATATTTTTTTTTTTTATACTCCAACTACCACGAAGGCCTAAGGCCTAAACACCCATTGGGTACCGTGGGGCTATAGGGGGATATAGGGGAAAGGGGGAACGCCACACGGACTCTGGCGAGGGAACACGTGTGCATGCAACATGCACACATTCTGGCTCCGCTTACGAGATCCGCCGGGTGGTACCTCCGCGTTCGACAATCAGAGACCGTCTACCACCTACGGACAATCACAACATCCATAGCCAAGAGAAAAATTTCTCCTGGGACGGGACTCGAACCCGCACAGCGCACGGCGACTGATCAGGAGACCGAAGAGTCTACTACTGCGGCCACCGCTGCTGCCTAAAACAAACACACAACATCCATGGCGAAGGCGAGATTCGAACTCGCGGCCCGGCCGGCCGGCTGATCAGTAGCACGACATTATTTGTTTGTGAAATAAAAAGTATTGTTTGAAACGTTTTTTAACTTACCTTAGCGTTAACGCCAATTTTTCTGCTGCTGTTATTGGTTCTTTGACTCTGTTATAGGAGGAGGATGTTATATCTTCTTCAACGAGGCTTAAAACAAAGGAAAACCGTTCGCGGGTCAATCTAAAATAGCTTTGAAACTTTTCTTCTTCATCACGGAGATGGCGCTTGATCAAAGTGTTGTATATTCCTAAATTCATGCGTTTTTGGAACACAGCACTCACTTCCTTCCTGCTCTCAGCCAATTCCCTCAAAATTATTTCTTCATCCCTGTCATCATTTATGATTTCTGTTATTATTAGCATCGCAGCGAGTTTTCTTTTCCTCCGTATTACCTCCATTTTTTAAAACTGCAACTGAAATCTGGCACCACCTACGTTGACTGAAAACGCGTCGCTAGGAAAACGCGCAGCGTACTGCATTTCACGTCCCTGCCAACGTGATTACGATAAATCGGTTCCGCGCTGCGTGAAAAACCCGTCGCTAGGAAAACGTACCTTAAGGTCGTCGGTGTCTGTTTTCTTGTGCAAAGCATTGTTATGTGAAATATGAATACCATTTCGATAATTAAGCATTTTCTGTAATTGGTTTTATGGTCTAATAGGCATTGGGATAAGAGCTAAGTACAATTTTCTTAGCCGAACTTAATCATCCGGTATAGAAGAAAGTCACAACGACAAGCACTATCATTGTGCACTGCGGTGCTTTCTTCCGGCTATATGGTAATACTTACAGTTTATGTCATAGAAGCATTGAATGGCAGATCTTACATCAGACACATAGCTCAAGTATCTTGACGTTTAGGCAACACACACAACTACTACAAGTGAACATAAAAGGCGAGTCCAAAATAGTCCAAACTGAACACAAAAGGTTTTTCAAACTAAATACATGATCCAAATTTAAGTAAACTTCGATCAGGCGCAATTTCTAAATAATATAAACAGTCATAGCGCTTATGTGTCCAATATTCTATTTGATAGACTTGGAATGCAGAAATGATGATCTCTCGATTTTAAAATTAGAACGAAAAACAAATATAGCAGCAAAAGCTTCCAGGAACCATCATCAACGTAAACATTTATTACCCTCATAAGTATCTTAGACGTTTGATCACAGCTGCAAAAATTTCACAACAAAGCATTTCGTGGACTATAAAAGTCAGACCTCACGGTCCGCGAGCTAGACATATCTTTGTTCAATTAGAGCGTTGTGTCGAGTAGATCAACTCAGGACCTCAGATATTTAGGGGGAGTCCGGGAGATTTGACCAGGTGGGAGATATATGCTCCACACCGCATAAATCATTTTGAATTTCGCGCGATTTAGATCACTGACAGGCCGCTGCATGCCTACTCGATGCTTGTCACACGCACGGCGCCATATTGGCTTCTAGCAAAACGGTTCTACAGTTAGCGAAGGAAGCACGTGTTTGGTGCTAAGAAGTTAGAAATTAGAATATTTTGAGTTTTGACGCCACGTCTTTAAATAATCAGGTATGAAATGACCTTAATATTAGTTAGATTACTAAATCATTCTAGTTTTGAGAACCAATTGTGTTTTATTCCTCAGCTTAAACTAATTTCCGTAATTTTTAAATCGAGTAAGCTAGGTCGGGTTAGGGAGACTTGACCCATCATGCCTAGGGAGATTTGCTCAGTGGTTCGAATGTCCCTTTGTTGTGTCCGACAAAAAGAGAATCGTTTCAACTCTTTTTTTCAGATATGCCGTTTCAATACAAGAGCAAATGCAGTTCATCTCGTAAAAAACTTATAAAACAGGAGCTGCAAAATGCTATTGCAGATGTGAAATCTGGTGCATCTCTGAGGAAAACAGCTATCAAGTATGGGATAAACAGGACGACTTTACGTCGGTACACAAAAAATGAAGAAAAACTGAGAGTTTTTGATGAAAAGGGTAGTTCGCATGAGGCTTCTCAGATTTTCACAATTCCAGAAGAGAGACTGCTGGTTGGATATTTAATAAACTGCAGTAAAATGAATTATGGTCTTACTCGTATAGAAGCGATGAAATTAGCTTATGAATATGCTTCATCAAATTCCAAAAAAGTTCCAGACAGTTGGTCAAGAAACTGTTCAGCTGGAAAAGACTGTTTCCGTGGGTTTCTTCATAGAAATAAAGAAATAAGTCTGCGAACGCCTGAAGCAACTAGTTTATCAAGGGCGACTAGTTTCAATAAGAAGAATGTTGGTGACTTTTTTGATAATCTGAGGCGTGTTCGGGAGAAATATAAGTTTGAACCACAAAATATTTTTAATTGTGATGAGACAGGATGTACTACTGTTCAGGACTGTCCAAAAGTGTTAGCAAGCAAACAATCAAGGCAAGTGGGACAAGCAACTTCTGCTGACAGAGGAACTCTTGTAACAATTTGCTGTGCAGCTAATGCAATTGGGAATGTCATACCACCATTCTTTGTATTTGCTCGTGTCAAATATCGGGAAGATTTTGTATCTAATGGACCAGAGGGATCGGATGGCGACGCATACTCCAGTGGTTGGATGACCAAAAAGAGCTTTTTGAAGTTCATGGAACATTTCAAAAAGTATTCCCGAGCATCCAAAGAAAATCCTGTTTTACTTATATTCGACAATCATGAAAGCCATATAAGCATAGATGTAGTCAACTTTGCCAAAGAGAATGGTATAACAATAGTAACGATCCCTCCGCATTGCAGCGGTAAGCTGCAACCGTTAGATGTTGCTGTTTATTCTTCATTTAAGTCACGTTACAACAGAGTTTTGAATAACTGGATGCTATCAAATCCAGGGAAAACGGTGCCGATATATAATATACCGGAGCTTATAAAGACATTGATGTCAGACGCCTTTAATCAGGCGAACATCCTTAGTGGGTTTAGAAAGAGCGGCATTCATCCTTTTAATCCTGATATTTTCACTGAGGAAGAATTCATGTGCTCTGCAGTCACTGACAGAAGTTTCTTGGGCGATGACGATATGCTTTCTGCTCATTCGACTCTTCAAGACCATTCGGCTCGACTGACTTTTTCTAATAGTATAGAAAACCCGACATCTTCCTTTGACAATCCCTCTATACGTTGTGATCAAAATGGTGCTCACTTAGATAAGGTTCCACTTGTAGCTCCGGCAGCAATAAGGCCTTACCCAAAAGCTTCGCCCAGGAAGAAAACACGGCATGGTCGTCAGCCAGGAAAAACAAAAATCTTAACCGAAACTCCTGAAAAAGAAGATAATCCTGTAGCTGATCCGGCAACTGTTGGGATACTCACCGAAAGGAACATTGAGGAGAACCGAACGATGGCTGCGAAAAACTCGAGGGTAGGAGGAATTAAAAAGAACATCTTTCAAGATGATGAAACAGAAACGCAACGGGAAGATAGTTCAACCATAGTCGAGCATAAATCCAGAAAGAGAAATTTCAGGAGTTCGACTGGAAATGGAAGCACAAGAAGAAAGACCAAGTTGAAAAAACGCGTTAAATCCAGTGAAACAGAATCAGAGGACGAGTGCGTTATCCAATATGCTGATAGCTCGAGTGGTGACGAGGCTCAAGATCCAAGTGACCCTTGGTATTGTTTTGTTTGCCAAAACGAAGAGGTTTTGGATATGCGCCTTTGCATTTCCTGTAAAAGGTATGCACATGAAAAATGTGTTGGACTGACGAATAAAGACAATGAAAACTTCATATGCCATGAGTGCGACTGAAATTATTAATATTTGTGTTTTATGTGTTGATGACACCTTAGGTTCTAGAGAAAATTCAACTTTTTGTTAGTTTTGTCTTGGATTATTCCAACCCAGCAATGAATGTAGAAGTTTCGTTTGTAGTTAATGCTGATATTCTAAATAAACTATTTGAGAGTTGAAAACAGTTTGTCTTTATTTCTCTGTATATATATATATATAAAGATGTGGTCAAGTCTCCCTTATGATCGGGTCATCTCTCCCAGGGGTTGGGGAGACTTGACCCATATATATTAATTTTTCGAAAATCAATAGTTACAGCTAAACCACTAGATTAATAGCGATTTCTATATCACACAGTAATAGCTATTAGGCAATCTGACGCACATGTCTTTGAGCGACCAAGTTTCAATGAAGAATTACAGTTTTATGCATGTTGGAGTTGAAAGGGGTCCAACTCTCCCGGACTCCCCCTATATTATCTGCATTCTACTTCAAGTGTGACATTGTCTCGGGGGTGGTTGCGACTTATTTTACAATTAGTCGCTTTTCGGAATTACTTATTTTATTCTTAGCAGCTCTGGTAGTAATAGCATGATCTAGTTATCTGAAAATAATTTGTAGAAGTAATGATTCTTGCTTGGTTAATGTTAAAAACATACCTATGTCTGTCTGTTAACATCTTTCTGATAATTTAATCTCTTAGGGCGTAGAGTTTAGTTTTATAACTTATTTGATCAGTAGCCCTAAAAGTTACCCTCATAATAATATGCGAATCAATGGTAAAGATGCTGGGTTTAGGTAATCACTGTCAATATATGAGTTCAATACACACTTTTAGAAACTCCAGGCTTCAATTTCACTGTTCATTAAGTGACATAACATGAATCGTACGTTGCCTTCGAGACGTGTTCTTCCAACAAGAGCTTACTCCTTTTTATGAGACTACTTGCGGGTCTATTTGAACTTACGACATACTCGTAGTCCTACAGTACGCAATACGACGATAAGGAAGTCAGATTGCCATTGACTATGAGACATGACAGTAGAGACTGCGTACCGTCTGTTGCGATGGGAAGCAAGACACCTCACGATAAATAGGAGGTTGGAGATACAAAAATTCCCCTATTACATTATCACCAATTTGAATTCCAAACTGATAATTGAAATGGCACCAAAATATTTGCTCTTTTGCCGGCCTCAATTGATCCCACACGACACATTTCATCATATCGAGTCCAACGATGCCCTTTGTGGGCACTGCGTGCGCAGCCATCGACTCAGTTCCACCCACTATGCATTCCGCTCCCGGCAAATATCACCAAAAGTAAAAAATAGAAGCTTTGCTCACCCAGGGCAATTGACAATCGTCCTCCCTCTCCCTCGATCATCAAAGCACGCACAGACGTGTCGCTAATCCGCGCCGCGCTGGCTCGCCGTCCGTTCGCGTATCGCCTGACAGCATCGCAACCACCGACATCGAATTCGCCACGGGGCGCCTCGTTATCCAGCAATTTTTCTCTTATTCGGATCCCATAGCAAGAGGATCTTAGGTCAAGATTGTGTTTTATTATAGTGAAACGTGAACTATAATACAAAGTTGAGTTTTGAGCCAAGGCGCAAAAAAGCGCGTGGGTTACAAATTCACACAATGAGAAATAGTCTTTGAAGTAATGGATCTAA